TCCCTTCCCCCACATCCAATCCAATCCAAATCCTGTCATTCATTTGTTTCTTCACAAAATATCTCAGATATACCTCCTGTCTCTCTGCCTGCACAGTTCCTCATCACTCTTCTCCTGGGACACTGTAATAGCCTTCTAATTGCTCTCCCTGCCTCAAGATTCTCCCACTCCAACCCATTTTCAATTTGGCTGCCAAGGTGATTTTTCTACAATGGAGGTCTGATTGTGTTGCCACCCTGATCAATGGTCTCTGGTTGCTGCCTGCTACCTCTGGGATCAGATACAAACTATGTTTGGCACTACCGCTCTTCATAATCCGGATCCTTCTTACCTTCCCAGTCTTCTTCCACTTCCTCCTTTCCACATATCCTATGATCCGGTTACACTGGCCTACTGGCTGTTTCTCTGGCAGGTGCTATGGGGAATGCAAAAAGTCACAGTCTCTACTCTAAAGACATTTACAATCTAGCTTCTACCCTTCCCTTCATCCTACGTGGCTCTCTGAAAGATTTCTCTACATTGCAGACACTCTTGATTTGACGTGCTTACAATCTATCCTGACAAACAAACTCGGATCCTTTTCTTGGTTTAAAGAACGAAATGAGCCTGAAAGATGGAAGATTTTAGCCTGCAGTAGCCAATGAGGGGAGGGGAACTTCCGTAACTAGACACAAGTAAAATCGTATCTTTATTGTTATCTGCTGAATTTGAGGGAAATTCACTGTTCTTAAAATAGAGACTCTAGAGTCTCTTCCACCTACCATTTCACAAAGGAGACTTTGATTGATACCAGGAGGAGAATCAGAAGAACAGGGCCAGAGGATGGCCTGCTTTTCTCAGAGAAAGGAACTAGGCTTATATTTATCTGCCCCTCTTAATATTGTTAAGTCTATGGGAAATATTTTTTTTAGGTTAAAGCTGAGTTGCTAATCACTATCCTTTAATAAGGAAGAAGTGCCTCAAGCTACATATATTCAAGGTTTGACTCTATTTCCACCAAATGCCAGCTTATCCAAGCTGATGGTAAACAGAAATCAGAGAAGTTTCAGAGATGAACATATATCCATTGGGATCCAGATATCTTAGCTCAAAAAAGAGCATCCCAGACCTCACCCAAACAGGATTGAAGTACTTGGTTCCTCTATATGTCAGCTTCCTAGAGTCTTCATCTCCCTTTAGGACCTAAAAATAATCTGAAACTATGTGTCATCTATCTTAAAGCTAGAAGCTTGAGGACCAGGATTTCTCTTCTTCCAAGTTCTTGCTAACTCTGCCCTTCATGCATTAAGAAACACTAAGTAATCTATCTTCACTAATATGCAAATAGACTTTGAGCCACAGGTCAAAGGATTATGCTTCTTAGTAAGGTCACTTAGTAAATCTGAGGTCAAGATTTGAACCCAGTCCTCTGACTCCAAATCCAGTACTCTTTCTACTATACCACACCTTCTCTATTTGTGAATTTTTTTTTCTTCTCTACAAGACTGTAATCAAATGATGACAGGGACCACATATTACAGAATAATGGGATTATAGATTTAGAATTGGAATATAAAATTCTGAGTCCTCCTTTTCTTTAAGGTGGTGCTTGTTACATCTTGTGTGATCCTAACTGTGGCTCTTCAGCACTTGAATTCTTTTTTTCTGGTTGCCTGCAATATTTTCTCCTTGACCTGGGAAGTCTGGATTCTGCCTATAATATTCCTAACAATTTTCATTCACGGGTTTCATAGATGTGATTAGCGGATTCTTTCAATTTTTACTTTGCCCTCTGGTTCTAAGATATGTGGGCCATTTTCCTTTATAATTTCTTGAAATACAGTGTCTAGGCTCTTTTTGTTCTTGCTGTTCATGTGTTTCAGGTAGTCCAATGATTCTTAAAATATCTCTCCTTGATCTGTTTTCCAGGTCAGTTGTTTTTCCTATATTTCACATTTTCTTCTATTTTTTCAATCTTTTGACTCTGTTTTATTATTTTGTTGTTGTCTTTGGAGTCATTAGCTTCCATTTGGCCAATTCTAATTTTCAGAGGATTATTCTCTTTAGTAAGATTTTCCATCTCTTTTACCAAGTTGTTCATTCTCTTTTCATATTTTTCTTTCTTAGCTCTCCCTTGATTTTTGAAATTATATTTTAGTTCCTTCTTTAATTCTTCTGGTTGTCCTTGTTGGGCTTTTGTTCAATCTGTATTTTTCTTTGAGGCTTTGCTTGTAGATATTTTTAAGTCATTTTCTTCTTCTATGTTTAAGTCTTGAGCTTCCCTGTCATCACAGTAACTCTTTATGGTTGGATTTTTTTTGTTGTTTGCCCATTCTTCCAGACCACTTCTTGACTTTGGACTTGAGTGTTGGGATCTGCTCACTTCTGGAGGAATGGGGATATTTGGCCTAAGCTTCTATCCTTTTATGTTCTTCTGCTGCTCTCACAGCTCAGGCTGAAGGCCTTCTAAAGTGGCATGACCTGGGGAGAGATCTGTTTTCTGCCTTCCTGGTCTGAGCTCTGCAAGTTGGGGTTATTAGCTCGCGGACAGTTGAATTTCGGTAGACTCATAGTGGACTCACTCACTATTAGCCCACTGGGAAGTTTTGCAGATTCAGAGTGAATGAACTGCTAATTTGGTCTTAGTCTTCTGCTCTAATCATTGTACTTAAGGCTTATGTGCAGGGCTAAAGATTAGAGCTGAGTCACCTCTCTGCTCTTAGGCTCAGTCATACAGCGAAGTTTCTGGATATTATTTCTTGCTTAGTGTTCAGCTAAGCTCTGTGCTCACTCATGACCTCTCTTCTCCACCCTGGATCTATGACCTGGACTTGGGTAATGGGCAAAAGGTGGTACCTCTTCCTGAACCCGGTGCTAGCGCAGGGATTCCCTGAGAGATTTCTGCCTTGTTGCTTCCTGCCCTAGTGCTCTGTCTTGACTCCATTTTCTGGATGCTGGAATGCTCCCCATCCCCAATGCTGCTACCTCACTGTGCTCCTGCCCAGCTCCCACCCAGTGTCCACAGATCTCTCTGTCTTCCTAAGCTGCCCTGGGCTGGAAAAATGACTATGACTTTTGTTTGGCTTTCCTGATCAGAATGTATTCTAGAACGTTTTCTAAGTTGTTGTGGAGGAGGTAAGCTGGGTAAAATGGACAAATATGCTTCTTCTCATCTGCCATCCTGACTCTGTGCCCTAAGTTTAGAACTGGAAGAAACTTTTGGAGGTCATCTATCCAACCCCCCATTTTGCAAATGAGGAAATTGAGGCCTAGATGAGCTGTGACTTGACCAAAGCCACACAGGTAATAAGGAGCAGAGGTAGAATTTGAACTCAGATCCTCCAAATCTAGCACTCTTTCTCTTGTACTATGCATGATGCCCCCTTATTATTTTAAAGAGTATTACACGTACTGTGGAAGGAACTCAATGTTTATTAAATTTCAATAAAAAATAGAAAAGAATGTGGCATTATCTGGTATTTTGTAATATATAACTAGATTACAGAATTACATCTTACCATAAGTGGAACAGAGCTCACAGATTATCTAAAGCAAAAGTTCTTAAGCTGGGATCCATGATCTTGTTTTTTAAAAAATATTATGACATCTGTATTTCAGTATAATTGGCTGCCTTTGTAATCCCATGTATTTTGTTTTATACATTTAATAACATTATAAGAGGCCCACAGGCTTCACCAGAGTAGATTGCCCAAGGGGTGCATGACACTAAAAGGTTAAGGACCTCTGATATAAACCAACCTATTCATTTTACATAAGGAAAAAGAAGCCCAGGGAAGTCAAATGACTTAACCAGGGTCACATGTGGGTCTTATGATTCTCAATCTAATTTTCTTGCTACAACTCTACTCTATGAAAACAATATATCTCCTCTCAGAGCCATAGAGTAAAGACAGAGCAAAGCTTCTGGTTTTTTTTCTGCTCTTCCTGGTATCAGCAGATATTTTGTTAGAGGACTTAACTTCAATACTTCAAAGAACTGTGATTTCATCAGCATGGACACTGCCAGTCACCAAAGTTGGTTGTAATCCCTCTATGCCTCAGTGTCTTTTTTTTTAAAAGATTATTATCTTTTGGTTTCATATCATCTTCATTTCCCAAGTAAACAGTCTTTATGAGTTGCTGTAGCAAAAATAAAGTAAAATAAAATTCCGCTTCTCTGTGATCAACCTGGCAGTAAGCTCTTCCAACCTACTTAGTCTGGTTCTTGGATGAGTGAGGTTTCGGGCACAGTTGAGGGCTTTCTCGCTTGGTCAGATATAACTGAAGTTTGACTTTTCCAGCACAGCCTTTGAAAATCCTTGGTCCCAGGGCAGCGAGGTGGCACAGCGATAGAGCTCTGACCTTGGAGTCAGGAGGACCTGAGTTCAAATCTGACCTCAGATACTTGACACTTACTAACTGTGTGACACGCTGGGCAAGTCACCTAACCCCAATTGCCTCACCAAAAAAAAAAAATTCCTTGGTCCCCTCTAGAACCTAATAAAACCTTGGAGGAGGACTACAGGACTGGCGAGGACTTGTTGGGGAAAATAGGTAAATTTTCAGCACAACTATGAAGGAAAAAAATGCCAGATGTGTCCATGGTCCAATTACTCCAATAAAAATTAAGCTCCTGCTATGTTCAAGGCATTTAATTTAACACGTGTGTTAGTAAGTCTTACTAACCCCAAACTTTTCATTTCCTTAAAAAAATTCAATTTCAGTTTCAGGAAAAAGCCTACTATAGCATTTGACTGAGCCATCAGTGCCTTCTGAGATATTAGGATGGATGAGAGATAATGCCCATCCTGGGGCCTTTACTGACTATAATCATGGAACAAAGTCAGGTGGTCAAAAAAAATCCTACATCTTCTACATTAGTTTTATGTAATGAATCATTCATCACAGTTTCCCATTAAGACATGTCAAATCATTACTATCCTATGTAAAAATAATACACATAAATACATCTAGATGGAAACCCATATGTTGAATGATTGATGATGTCTGAATGGCCTTACCTGTAATAAAGGTGTCAGCTGCAAACCCAATGCTTGCTCATATAGCAAATTTAATTCTGCACAACTGGAAAAGGAGAGTTTGGAGGTATGGAGGTAATAATGTACATGCCGAAATGTAAATCCATCTCTGTCAATGAATAGCCGTTGGTTCTCTGAGGGTGTCAAGGCAGATGCCTCCTTCCACAGGAGGGAGTCTGGGAACTGAGCAAGCTTGCTTCTAGGAACTGAAAAGTGCCAACCCCCTACATTAAAATGAAACAAATCCTCTGCTGATTCATGAGACATCCCAGGCTCCTCCTAAATGGAAAATGAAGAGATTTATGACCTGGAGCACTCAAATATATTAAATAAATGCAAGGCTCTTTGGAGATCCTATCTACAAAGAAATAAGTTCATTGTTTGTTCTGAGTTCTTTCAGTCCCCTTGGTGGTTATTAATGTCAACCAAAGAACACTAAGGTTCATAGTGATGAGCTCATTAAGTCAATAAACCTCACCATTAAAAACATAAGCTCATCTATTCATAGTTGAATTTCCTATCTAACCCACTTTTTGCTTTTTTAAGCCTTAAACTGATGCAACATAGAAACAAGACAGAAAAACAGTATATCTACAAATGCAAATGTGTTCTGTAACAAATCTTCAACTAAAAACACAAAACAGACCACACATGTAAAACAAGGTGGTGAACTAGGAAGGCAAGGGCTTGAAAGAGGAAAAGTGGACTTCCCTAAATCTTTTCATCAAGACACAACACTTACTAGCTGTGTGACCCTGGGCAAGTCATTTAACCCCCAATGCCTCACCAAAAAGAAAAAAAAAAAAGACTAATAGCTCAAACTCGCCACTTTTCTTTCAGGGGCTTAGGAAACCTCTCTGGATTATGGGCCAAAGAGAATCTGGGGTTATTCCCCACAGTGGGCAACCTGAGTCTGAATCCTGATCCTGACACTTCCTGTGAGACCACAGGCAAGTCTCTGAATCTCATTTTTTTTATGTGTAAAATGGGAATGGCTAGCTTATATATCTGCCTTACCTACTTCACAGGGCTGTGAGGAAATCATGTTGTCAAACTATTTTAAAAAGCAAGCAATTTAACAGCTCAGTGCTCTGCAGAATAAGCATATTGGTAGAGGGAGTTCCTTATATCATTGAAATGTTGGACAGATCTTGCCCAAAAAAACCCCTCTGGCAACAATAATAAGCCCACCAGCTGAAGCGGATGGTTAGAAGTAAAATTTTGAATTTTTCAAGGGCAGTGTTGCATCCCAGACTCAGAAGCCTGGGCCATCTGGTGATCTAACCATCCCTCTGCTTCCAGGGGGCATCTGAGGCCGATCGGTCCCAGTGGGAGCCCAAGATGTCAGGGGAGCTAAGAACGTCCTTCCCCTCCCTGTCCTGGAAGGACCAGCAGGGACCGTTCCCGAGGGTGGCTTGGAGGGGGGATTCGGGGTCGTGCTCCTCATTGCCTTCCTCCTTCCTTCGAAGGGCCACGAGGGTCCCTTACAAGGGGGTCCTTGGGGAGGCTGGGGGCAGCAAGGATGCCCTGCTCTGCCCACCCCCACGCCTGCCTGCAGCGCCCGCGCCAAGGGAGGCAGGCCACCAGTGGGAGCTGCAACAGGGGTCAGACCGGGAAACTGAGGCCCGGCGACGTGAGGCCGCTCCTCCCACTCATCCCACCAGAGCGCCCCTTCCTCATAAGCCCTCCTCCCCAGGCCGGGCTGCCCCTTCGTGGGTTCTGCCCTCACGGAGATACTCCCCACCGCGGAGGGTCAGGGCTTTCTTCACACTGATCTTCCAGTCATGGGGCGCCCCCGCCAGGGCAGGCTCCATACCATGGTCACGGCGGCCTCTCGGCGAGGGGCTGCCTGCGAGTAACGGCCCGAGAGAGCGCGAGGAACTTGGGGGTGGGAACGGGGGAGGGGTTGGCTGGTGGTGGCAGGTGAGCAAGATCGGGGCGGGTGAGAGAGTGGAGCTAGCGGGGAGCAGCGCGAGCAGGTCCGGGAGGGTGCACTGAGGTGATGGGGGGGAAGGGGGGGACGTTAAAAGAGGGCAGCGCGTGAAGGCCCAGGAGGGTGCACTGAGGTGATGCGGGGAGGGGGGGAGGGGAAAGTTAAAGGAGAGCAGCGCGTGCAGGTCCGGGAGGCAGCGCTGAGGTGATGGGGGGGTGGAGAATGTTAGGGGAAGGCAGCACGTGCTGACCTGGGAAGGTGCATAAGATGATGGGAATGTGTGTGGGGGGAAATGTCAAGGGGGAGAACAGCACGTGCTGGCCTGGGAGGGTGCACGAGGTGATGAGCAGGGGTGGGAGGGTAGAAAAGAGCCCCGCAAGGGGGCGCCATACGCAGAGACCAGGTGTTAGAGGAGAGCAGCCAGTGCTGGTCTCTGCAGGGGCATGATGCTGGGAGAATGGGGAGGGGGTTAGGAGGGGCACTGGGTGAGCCTCGCTGCCAAGGGTCACGAGGTGATGGGCATGGGGGAATTAGGGGAGGGTCCCGAGTACAGGCCTGGATTGAGACCTGGAGGGGCAGAGGTCGGGTAGTCCAGGACAAAGGTTTTAGATGAGGGGCTGGGGGTGGGCGGCGCGGGGTCTCAGACTCTGGGGCGCAGGGGAGGGGCGGCTCCAGAGAGCAGGGAGGGTGGGAACTGGGCTGGGGGCTCGAGTTGCGCACAGGAAGGAGGAGGGTACCCAGCGTGACGTAGACTGGGGAGAAGAGCGGGGGACTCGAGGGCACACTGGGGCTGTCAGGTAAGGGGGCGGAGTCAGAGGCGGAGAGTCGGGAGGGGGAGGGGGCGCAGGAGCCGGGCGTGGGGTGGAGGGGAGGTGGCTCTCCAGTTTCCCGGCATACCCCAGGCTGTCTCCCCCGCCTCGTCAGCTGGGCCGGGCGAGCCGCAGTGGGCTGGGATGGCGGAGCAGTGGAACCTGGACGAGGAGGTGCTCCGCCGCATGGGGGCGCTGACCCACGAGGAGCCGGGTGCGGCCCCAGGGGCGCGGGAGGGAGGAGCCGCTGGGCGTGGGGAGCGGATCGGGGAAACGATCGGGGAAACCCCACGGGAGGGGGGTAGGATTCAGACGGGGCCTGCAGGTCCCCAGTCATGGAGGCCCGGAAGGGAGGAGGAGGCACTTGGGTGTCTTCTTTTATCGTCTCTCTAGTTTTCGTCTCGGGGCCCTTTTAGGGCCCAGTGAAGTGGGGGGTGGGGTGGTATTGATTTTCTAGCCATATGTCAGGGCGTGAGAGTGCTGCCCCCCATTTCAAGACCCACTGTTCCTCTTCCTTCGGTGGACATTTGGGTTTGAAGCTTCCGATTTTGTTCTTTCCATTGAAGAAGGGATAGGCTGCTGCAGGAAGAGCTGCATCCAGAGAGGAATCTGCGCCCTTATAGCTAGCACCGAGCCCACGGTTTGGGGTGAGGTGTAAATTAAAATGCCCACAACTCCAGCTGACCATAGTGTGGTCTGGTATTAAACTTCTCTTTACTTCCGTTTTTCCTCATTTGTCAAATTCGGGGATATTGACCACAGTGCCTCTCTTAGGTGGGGTAAAGTGCTTGGAAAATAGAAAGTTACCGGTAGCCAATCACGTTTCCTTCCTTGTTCTCTCTTGAGTTTACGAGAATTTAGAGTTGGAAGGGACCTAGTCCATCCTCCTCATTTTATGGATGAGGGAGCTAAGGCTCAAAAAAGTGAAGGGGCCTGCACAGATTGTAATAAGTAGCAGAGCAGAGGTTTCAAATCCAGGTCTCCTTGATGTATAATTCATAATTTAGGGATCCTGAATCACTTTACATTATTCCCCTCACCCCCAGACTAGGAATAAGTATCTTGCCTTTTTCTGAAAGATGACAGTATTATTGGCTTGATTTTGTAAGACATTCCTAAAGTGCTGTGTGCTTTTTAAAAAATGAAATCAATTAAGATTTTGTTGTTTCAAAAATTTTTGAAAAATTCGACATTATCTTTTGATGCTGTTTTCAAATAGCCATTGGGTTTGGTGGGCCTCTCGCTATTGGACCTCAGAGATAATTTAGTACAATCCCTTCATTTTGCAGATGGGGAAATTGAAGCCCAAGAGAGGAAATTATTTGCTAAAAGTTACATAGTAAGCAAAAAAGCTGGAATTCGAACTCTCTAACTCCAAATCTAGTACTCTTTCCCTTACAGCAGCATTTCTCAAAACGTTTTGGTCTGAGGACTCCTCTCCATTCTTAAAAGTTATTGGGGATTTCAAAGAGCTTTTATTATGTGGATTATATCTCTCCATAATTGCCATATTAGAAATTAAAACTGGTAAGATTAAAAATTATTTTAAAATAGCAATAATATATTACATGATAAACTTTTTTGAAAAATAGCATTTTTGAAACAAAAAAATGAGAAGACTGGTATTGTTTTGCATATTTTTGCAAGTATCTTTAATGTCTAGCTTAATAGTAGACGGCTAGATTCTCATATCTGCTTCTGCATTCAATATGTTGATGTATATTGTTTTGAAGTATATGAAGAAAATCCAGCCTCACACAGATATGTAGTTGGAAAGGGGAGAAATATTTCAATAGTCCAATAATAACTTAGTATTATTATGGAAATAGATTTGACCTCACAGACACCATGATATTGTCTCAGGGACTGTCCGGGGTCCTCCTACAACATTTCGATAACTGCTGCATTACCCCAAGCTTCCTTCCCTGAGACTTTCAGGGAACACTCAAAACCATTACAAGGGGCAGAGGGAGGAAGGAAGGTTCATTTTCACTAACTCTGTTATTCATCTAAACACTTACTGAGAAAGAATATAATACATTTGCTAATGATCTCTTTTCAGAATTGGTGGAGTCTCTTTCATTGCAGGGATCTTATGTAGGAAAAATCCATTCCATTGGTGAGACCTTCAAAAATTTTAAAAATCTCCGATCCTTAGATCTATCAAGAAATTTAATCTCTAGTCTACAGGTAAGTTCCATATGATGAGAGGACTATAGACCATGCTGTAGAAGATTTGGTTGCAAGAACTAGGAATAGTTAGCATTGAGAAAAGAAGGAAGGAAATGTGTTTATATAGCACCTACTATATGCCACAGGTACTGTGCTGTGTAGGGGCTTTGCTACAAATATTATTTCTTGTCTGCACAACAACCCTGCAAGGTAGGTACAGTTCTCCATATTTTACACTTGAGAAAACTGAGGCAAATAGGTTAAATGACTTGCCCAGGGTCACATTGTCTGGGGCCAAATTTGAACTCGGGTCTTCCTCGCTCCAAGCCCAGCACTCTGTGTCTAGCTTCACAAAACAGGAAAGACAGGGAGAGACCTGATGGTTGTCTTCAAATATTTAAAGGTCTGGCATATGGAAGAAGGTTTAGAGACTTTAGATGTATGCTGTCTGGTGCCAGAGGATAGAAATAAGAACATTAACAGAAAGTTACAGAGAGGCAGATTTAAACTCAGAGGAAAGAGCTTCCTAATAATTAGAGATGTCCAGAAGTAGAATGAGCTGCTTCATGAAACTAGATTCCTCATCACTGGAAATATTCAAATGGAGGATGGATGATCACTGAAGAGTTCGAAGAAGAAGATTCTTGATGAGGTTTGAAATCAGACATGTAAGGTCCTATGCAACTCCGAGAGTCTGATTCTGTGATATTCTGTAGCCAGTGAGGTAAACATAGCAAATATTGTGCATCAACTATATTTTTAGAAGTGTTTTTGAGAGGAAATAAGGGATAGTGAAGATACAGCCTTTCATTTTTGCCTTTTGGACAAAATTAGATAGTTGAGATCTATTCAATCTTAGATTTACTAGCATTTTACTTTTATTAATGTCTCTTCCTAATTAGAGGAAAGTTTATGTTGAAGCCTGAAGGTTCCCCACAAAAGATGACTTTCTAGCAGCATTTGAAAGAGAAAAAGGTGATGGGCTGGAAGACAGGAAACTTTTCCAGACTTGGCAGTATAGAAAAAAGCCTGGGCATGAAAGCAGAAAAGAGCAGGCCTGGGCAGAGCAAAGGGAGTAAGGATTAGCTAACATACTTAAGGGTTCCCTAAACACACACAAACAGAATTTGTGTTTTCCCTGGTGTCCCAAATGCCATACAAAAGGTGGCCTTCTTTCCTCATATTTCCATTGCAAAAAGCCTTTTCTCTGTGCTTTTCCAGGTATTCTCCAGACAAACTAAAGGTTTCAGATTGTCTTCTCAGTTTGATATTTCATGAGATACCTGCTTATCTGGACAAATCATAATCTCGATCAGAGATCTAAATGACTTCCAGGCTGTATCCTTAGTATGTCTCCCTGTTAATCCCTAATACAAAACCTAGGCAGGATTCAGTCGATGTTAAACTTACTGGCATAATTTTCTGTCCTCCTCTTGGTTCCTGTCCAAGGAAATCTTCCCTGGATGTCTTCTGAAAAGAAAAATTTTAGTTTTCCAGCAGGAATCTTGTTGCTCCATTGGTTTCAGAAAGTTGTTGGCTTAGGGTTTCCCCTTCTACATTTTATCATGGAGTTGATTGGCTGTATTTGAACTCTATGAGTGTTCTCCTTTCTTAGGTAAAATAAATGGAAAAAATAAACATTGCTCTTGTTTGCTTTGCAATCAATGATACTTGCCTAGTATGATTGTTCTGTATATATTCATCTTTCCGGTACCAAGAAGCACTTTACTTAATTACGTTAGGGAAAACAAAGTGACTGTGATAATTGCTAATGCATCTTTAGGGAATGCATGGGCCATTAAGAGTTAGGAAGGTAGGAGGATGGAAACTATTCACTTGACATTACATCAAAAGGAATTAAGATTGAGCATCAAACTTAGCTAGTGCTTGCAATACCCAGAGGTATTAATAAGAGATTCAGTAGTTGTAATTTCTGTAAATTATTTTATGAAAAAACTCTTTATAGTAAATGTATTATGTGAAGTCAAAAGAAGACATTACCAGTCAGTAGAGTCAGGGAAAGTTTGGGGGCAGAAGGCAACATTTGAGATGGGCTTTAAAGGATGGATAGGAATAAAATAGATGAACAAGGGAGAGGCAATTCTAGTTGTAGGGAAGAGCATGAACAAAGGCAGGGAGGCAGGAGAACACGTGTATTTGCGGGGACAGGAGATGAAGGTGGAGAGCAGCATTCTAATTTGCTTTGATTGTAAAGGAGAGGAATATGAGACAAGTCTGGAAAAGTATGCTGGTGCCCATTTGTGGAGGGTTTTATGTAGGTTTTGAAAAATTGTACAGAAATGGGCAAAATGTCTGATTTATTCAACAAACCTATGTTAAGAACCTACTAAACCTGACACTGTAATATGCAACAATGAAAAATTGAAAATAGTTGAAAACTGAAAAACTTGAAGACAATTTCAGTCAGCTGTCTACAGAGGAGGGAATTATTGCAGTTAGAGGATCTAGGTTCAAATTTCAGTTCTGCCAAATGCTACTTGGTTAACCTTATTTTCTTATTTGTAAATAAAAGAGTTGGTGTAGATGATCTCTAAGGTCTCTGAAATTAAAATTCTACAATCCTTATGATCTCTGTCCTGGATAGATAGATGTTAAAGCTGGTCATGAGAATTGGCATAGAAGCCAGGAGCGCCATTTTCTAGTCTTAGCTCTGCTTTCCCCTAGATGCATGACCTTGGGCAAATTGTTTTACCTTTTTCTTTTTTGGGGGGGTGGTGAGGCAATCGGGGTTAAATGACTTGCCCAGGGTCACACAGCTAGTAATTTTCAAGTGTCTCAGGCAGGATTTGAACTCAGGTCCTCCTGACTCCAAGGCTGGAGCTATATGTATTGCACAACCTAGCTGCCCCTGTTTTGCCTCTCTTGCCTCAATTTCCCCATCTGTAAAATGAAGAAGATTGAACTGGATCATATCTAAGGTCTCTTTCAGCTCTGTGGTTCACACTGTGTTAAAAGGTGAGTTTACTGTCCCAAATAGTAGTACTACAGAAGTTGGAAGTGGTAAGTCATGTCTAAAGAGTAATGACTTCAGGAATGTTCTGATAAAAGGTAGTAACAACTTTAAAAGGTAAAGGAACAACAACAGGGGGAAGCATTTAGGCCCTGACTTAGGGTATTTGTTTGTGTCTTTTCATTTTAGTGAACTATTAAATTTATAAATGATGACCCTATAGCTGTTAGCCCTGTAAGTGATAATGATGGCTCAGGTAGTAGTCATATTAAATGCAGGAAGTTGGAAGACATTGAAGGCTTAAGACAGCGACTAAAGTGACCATACTAGAGGTGAAGGCTATTTTATGTTATATACTTTATAAGTGTACAATTATAACATAGTAATAATTTTATACCATTTCATCAGTATCAGAGCCACAAAAAAGAATTAAAATAATAGTAGGGATCAGGTATGCTACTTTTCTTCTTTTTCTGTTTCTTTTAAAAATATTCTTTGTTATATAGGATAGAGAAAGGTTAGGAGAAATTTGAGCCATGTAAATACAAAAGATACAAATAAAAATTTATTTTAAAAAGCAGGAAGATTGTGTGTGTGTGTGTGTGTGTGTAACTGTCCCTGGTTCCTGCGATACATAGCCATATATCCATTAAGAGTTTTAAAAATATACCCTTCTCTCAAATAATCTACTTTTCTGCCTTAACTTCTTTTCCAATGGAGCAGCAGTTAGAATCAAGGAGTGTGAATGGGATTAAACCAGGGTAAAAAATGTGCTAAAGGCCTTTTGCTTCCCTTCCACAAGTCAGAGTTGGGATGAGAACATAGAGATTGGACATGACTGAAAAAGAAAAACTGATAGTCACTATTGGCAAGCAGGTACCTCAGTATGAGTGTCAGATTTTATAAATTGCTTTGAGTTTCTTGGAAGAAACATACTGTGTAGGTGAATTATTGCTACTTAAAACCTCATAAGACTCTATTTAAAGCTTTTCAAGGAGAAAATAGTGTAGGAGAAAGAATAGGAGAAAAACTTGAGCTGAATAAGGAGAGGTAATCATGAAGGTGATTTGGAGAGCTTTAGAATTATGGAGAAGTCCAGAGGTTGAATTCGGGAAGAAGTTGGAAGATTTGAGAAGATGAAAGCTAAAGGAAGAGGACTCAATTTGAAGGAAGAAAAGAGGGGAAAGGTTCATTTTGAAAGAGAAGAAGGACTAGGGGAAAAGGACCCAAGGAAGAGCAGAAGGAAGAGCAAAAGAAGGGGCAGGAGAAGAAATAAACTAAAGAAGGAGGAGAAGGAAAAGGAGAAAGTAGTGAGGAAAGTTAAAGAAAAGACAGGAAAAGATAAGAGGTTAGTGGGAGAAGGAAAAGGAAATTCATTATGGCTGTCAAGGTATTAAGGTTTGCTAAAGAGGTGAGAGTGACAGCTCAAGTTAATAATCATCCTAACCTGCGACTTTCACTTCTAATAACTAAGGAGGGTATGGCGAATTTTGCAGTGATTTGCATCGAGTACCTAAAGTTTGTAGTTTTTGCCACAGTCATACTATTTGTACTACAGGCAGGCATCCCTCCTAAGAGAGAAAGTGATGGGTTTTGAAGAATGCCTCTCCATATTCCAGGTCATCAAGCATAGTAAAATGTTCCATTAAAAGTGAAAGAAGAAAAACAAATACGCTTCCAGTGGGAAAACCAAGAAGGACCTGTAGAGACGAAAATTAAGCCTGAACTGTGCCAGGAAGTTGGAGGGTAAAAGAATGTCACAAAGAGGAGGAAGGAAAAGAGGCCCACTAAATACTTGGAGCGAAGAGAAAAATGAAGCTGTTTTGAAGGGGGGAAGATGGGTACTCTGGAAAGGAGGCATCTGCATGTCCTCCAAGGAGCGAAACAGTAAATCCACAAGAGCTCTCTGGTGAGAATTTGTCCACTAAAGATCAGGAGAAAAGACAAGAGAGTGTGGTGGTTGGTGATTTCCTCTTCAGACTTCATTGACCATACTCCAGCTCTGCATTCTTAAACCTCACTCCAGACTTGGAATTTACACTCTACTGCTGCAGCCTTTCCCTCAGGAGGGGTGGCTTGGATAGCTCCTCCAAGAATCTCCATTTATGGAGGATACCCAAGTCAGCCTAGTCTTCTTTCCTCCCCAGGTTGCACTTCAGATTTTTTGTATCACGACCACCTCATGGGTAACTTTGTCCAGTCCTCCCTACTCTTCACTTTCAGCTTCCTTTTCTATGTGTTTTTTTTCCTCCATTGAAATGTTAAACTCTTGAGGGCAGGCATTGTCTTTGTATATATTTGTAGCACTGTGCCTGGCCCATAACAAATATTTAACAAATACTTGTTGCTTGACTGAAGCTGTTTGTTAACCTGATAATGATAACAGAGGGGTCTACTGTCTTCCTGTCTTGTGTATCTAAGATGTGACAGAGAATCTTCCAAGATTTTTCTAAATGAATGATTATTACCAACTTCTGGTGATTCACAAAGTACAAATGATACTGCCAGAAGGAATTTAGAAAGCATTTCCAAAGATTATGAAGTCTTGGGCAAGAAATTGAAGACCTTAGGGGCATATATAAGGGTGTTTTCACTGCTGCCCATCAAAGGCAAGTACAATGAGAGAAAAACAGATTTGGGAAATAAAGCTGTTTAAGAAGATGGTGTCTGAGAGGGAAATTTGGATTTCTGTGCCATAGCTTATAATGTAGGAATGACAGGGTACTCTCCACAGATGGAGCGGAGCCCTTAGCAAGGGCTGGTAGAACTGCATTTGTCTAGTGTCTTTTTTATCTATTAAAAAACATTTAATCTGAAAAAGAAAATGGAGACAAGAGACAGCCTATGTAGATCCAATGAACTTTTTGCCATAAATAGCTATAAGGTGGAAGAATGGGTAATAGAGATTCCGAAAGTTCACAGAAGACAAAATCCAAGAAAAGAGCAAGTAATAAAAACCCACGGCCTCAGATGTCTGTGCATAAATGTGCAAGGTACAGCTAATAGGCAAGAACTAGAAATCAGCCAACAAATACTTATACAAAGGCAAAAATGAAATGTTTTCTCCACCCTCAAGGAACTTTGATGTTACTGAGGGAAAAGAACATGTACACCTATACTTAGAGAAGCAAAATATAGTCAAGCTAATTGTAAGGTAATTTGGGGAGTGGAGGCACTAGTAATTAGGGAATAAGAAAGACATTAATTAATTTTTTAAAAGATGGCATTTGAGCTGAACTTTGACGGAAACTAGGGAGTTAAGGAGATAGGGAAAGGAAGTGTGTTCCAGGCCTGGGAAACAGTCGCCTATGTGAAGGCTGATAACTAATGACCAAGAAAAGACAAAAGTGCTTAATTCTCATTTTACTTTTGTTTACTCTGCCAATAAGAATTATTTTTGAACTGGCGAGGACAGAATAAATATGGCTAATGGGGAGTTGATAGCCAAGATAAGTAAGAAGATAGGAAAAGAGCACCTAGATAGATGTTCCTGGTGAATTCAAATCACTTGACTCAAATGAACTACGTCCTTGGGTATTGGAGAAATAGGCAGAGATGATTTTGAAGGCACTGTCAATGATCCTTGAAAGATTTTTGGAGAATGAGAGAGATGTTGCAATTTTAAAGAAGGGCAAATACGCCATGGTTATCAAAAAGGAAACAAGAATGAAATCTATAAACCATAGGTCAGGGAGGTTGACTTTGATACCTGGCAAGATTTTAAAACATTACTGAAGAAATAGTGAGCATCAAGAAAATGACCATCATTGGCTTCATCAAGAATAGGTCAGGTCAAACCAGCTTTATTTCCTTTTTTAACAGGATTAATAATTGACAGATGAGGGGAATACTGTAAATATAGATCATTGAGGGCTACAGACTCCTAGGTGTCCACGGAGAGATTTTAGCAAGTCTGTGAACTTGAATGGGAAAAGTTACATCTTTGTTTTCATTAATCTCTAACCAAAATTTAGCATTTCCTTTAAGAATTAAAAAAAAAACCCAAACCATTATTCTGAGAAGGTCATTGAGGGCTACAGACTCCTAGGTGTCCACGGAGAGATTTTAGCAAGTCTGTGAACTTGAATGGGAAAAGTTACATCTTTGTTTTCATTAATCTCTAACCAAAATTTAGCATTTCCTTTAAGAATTAAAAAAAAAACCCAAACCATTATTCTGAGAAGGCCACAGGCTTGCTTCAACAAACTGACAAGGGGGTCCAGGACACAAGAAAGGTTAAGAACCCCTCATCTAGACTTTAGCAAAGCAGTTGGTAAGGTATTTTGTGTTATTATTGTGGCAAAGATAGAGAGATTTGGGCTAGGCAGTTAGAGAGATTCATAACTGGTTCAAAGAGGGGACCCAAAAGGTTGTCGTCATTGTCATCAGTTTAATGTCAGCCTAGAAGGGGGATCTCTAGTGAGACACCCCAGGGATCTGTGCTGCTTAACAGTTTGATCAATGATTTAGATGAAGGCAGGGAAGGTGTAGGTCTCTAGTTTGCAGTTGACACAAGCTAGATTAGATATTGGATGACAGGATTCAAAAACACCTTCACAATTTGCATCAAAATGAATTAAACAAAATTTAACAGAAATTAAATGTAAAGCCTTGCACATGACTTCAGAAAATCAACTTCACAAGTATGTGGCTAGACAGATTTATTTGGAAATGATCTGAGGGTTTGAATGGAGGGCTTAGTGTGTGTGGCAGACATCTAATATAGCAGACAGGAAAACACACATGAACCTAGGCTGCAGTAAGAGAGGCCAGATTGGAGCTCCCTTGCCCTCTGCCCTGGTCAAGGCATATCTTGAATGTTGTGTGATATTCTAGATGCCTCATTTTAGGAAGAACACTGAGAAGCAAGCATCGTCTAGAAGAGTTCCCAGAAGGTGTGCTGTTTCAAGTTTATGCCATAGGAAGACACTGTTGCTGAAAGACTTGGGGATGTTTAACATATTAAAAACTTAGGGGTGCCTAGTAGCTGTATTTAGGTATTGGAAGGGCTACTGCGGAAAAAGGGTGCAAGACTTGTTCTGCTTGACCTAGAGCAATGAATGGAAGTTAGAAGAAAATTGTAGTGTCATCTAAGGGAAAACTGCCTAAAATCAACAGCTGTGCAAAAGTGGGATGGGCCGCCATTTGAGGGAGGGGGTTCCTTCCTTGTCCCTTAGAGGTCTTCAGGCTGAGTCTGGACGAACAGTTGTCAGGTACGTTAAACTAGAAATTCATGTCCTATTGTGGGTTGGATTAGATGGTCACAGACATCCATTCCCACTTTTAAATTCTGTGATTGGGACTTAGTGCTGGGAAGGACCTTAGAGAACACCTTGCCCAAGCTCCTTTTATGGAGAAAACTGGGACCAAGAGAAATACCTTGCCCAAAGGGACTGAGGAAGTAGAGGAGAGATTTGAAACCAGGTTCTCTGATTCCAAATCTAGTGCTCTTGCTACAACCTCAGATGTACAGGACAGTTTATCTCCTTCTGAAAGGCTATTTCTGCTTTATCATACAGCTGAGTGGCATTCCAGCCCTGCCTTCTCCTACATATATCAGATAGGTGCTAAGTAGCAAGTATATTCCTACTTTTAGCTGTGGGAATTGTAATCTCTTACAACAGGCATCTTTTAACAGTTTTTTTCCTTCATAGGGTATCGAGTATTTATCTTCACTCCGAGATCTGAATTTATATTACAACAACATTCCATCATTAGCAGAGGTGTCCCGCCTGCAGGCTTTACTCTGCCTAAAAGAGCTAGATTTGAGACTCAATCCTGTTGTAAGGAAAGATACAGACTATAGACTCTTTGCTGTACACATGCTACAAAATCTGGAGAAACTGGGTGAGAGCCTCCTCCCACACCCCACCCTTTCAAAGACCTTGGTAAACAGTAAGGTTTACTGTTAACTTGTTGCTTTCTACCATCTTGGAAGTTGGCCCAGGCCCAGGGTATAAAACTCAGAGTGCATTGTTTATTAGTATTTATGTAGATCTTTTATTTTGGCAGTATATTTTATGAGCCTTTTTAGTGTTTTTAATGATACTTCCTTTTTTTCTATTACTCCATTTTAGTTCTCTCTAATTTGACCTTATTGATTACTTCAGAAAAAAAAAACACAACCCAACACATTTAAAAAATGCTTCCAGGCTGACACTTGGGCTAATAGGCCCCTGGGACATGAAACTCTTAGAGATCAATATCAACAACAAATACATCCCTTCCAGTATTGCATATCCTATCCTTTTATTGATGAGTTAGTTACTTTACCTTCTTGTGGGAAAGGAGTTTTTGAGTCAGGAACATGGGCAAAACAGACCTGTTTGAGCCATTGCTTTCCAAATAGGGGTCACTTAATTTCAACCCTCAGGCTCAAACCATTGGGCTCTTTGGACCTTTAGTCATTAGCACATGTCTTACCTGAGGACAGAATACTTTAGTTGTTTACTGTCCAACCTTCCTTGCCTTAGGTGTGGTTGCACATGTGGAACAGTTGTTGCTATGATATTTGTTAGCATCTCTAACAGTTTCTGCTTGTCCCAGTGACAACATAATAGCATTGTTCTGTCACCTGTCTCTGCCCACAGCACAAAAGAATATGAAATCTGTTTCTGGTTTTCACTTTGTGAATTTGGTTTGATGTCACAGTAAGCAATTACTTTTTTGTCTTTAGATGACCGGGTAGTCCGGGATAGTGAGCGGAAAGCTGCCATGCTTCATTTTAGTCAGCTGGGCAGCAATGAAAATTTCCTCTTTGATGTGGAAAATAAGAGGTAAGGAGTTTTATCTTATTTTATTTTGTTCTTGATTGTGTTAATAGTGAACAGTGAGCTTCCAATAAAATATCTTTACTTCCCAGAAGAACTCATAGGTTCTAAAAATCCTAAAATCATGTTATTGGCATAAGTAGTTAGAGAATTATCTCATATGAGCATCTAGATCCTCCATATGTACATTCCTGTCTTCTTGAACAATTGTGTCCCACACGTAACATGCTGTCATGGAAAGAGTGATGGAGACCTAGGTTTGAATCTAGGTTCTGAAACTTACTTGCTATGTGACCTTGGGGAAGTCACTTAACTTCTCAGCTCTTCAGTTTCATTTTCTATAAAATGGGGATAATACTTGCATTAACCAGTGGACAGATGATGAAACATTTCCTTCCTCTCAAGGGTTTGGAAGATTACATATGCTGCTGTGAGGAAAAATAGGAACCATAATCATTTCATGACATCTTGATGACATCTTGACTACAAGTATAGAAATACTTCAACCACCTGGAGCCATAATAGTAGAAAATAAGAAGTATTAAAATGCAAGTTTGTAAGGACAAAGTAAAATAAATAGTCTCATTTCAAAGTGCCAATCACCATATTTAGTATTGTTTAACTATTTTTCTTCTTTATAAGAAAGTGACTGGTATGAAAACAAAAAGTAGAAATTAAAAAAATGCACTGCCTCTTATATAAAGTTGTGAGTAAAAGCTCTTTGTAAATTAAAAAGAAATACAGTAAGCTGCTGTTATTATTTTAGAATCAGTTTGGGTACATTCTCTCCATTGTCTCCCTATACCTCTCTTTCTTCTTGGTTATAATCTGTATGTGGCTTTTTAATAGATGAGCTGAGAACTACTATTTAGTCAGCCAGGAGTATAAGTAGACTTTTCTATCTGATGTTTGATGTTAAAGAAAAAAGTCAAGGAAGAATAATTTCTCTGTGAAGCAAATAATGAGCAGACTGGTTAAGTACCCAAGTCGTGGATGGTCCAGCCACTCTTTTCCATTTTCGTTAGTGATTATATTCAGATAGGTCTTATGCATTTTGTACCCCAACATGAAACCTAAGAACTCAATCTTTAGAGCAGCTTTTAAAAAAATTTAGGAGACAGTTGTTTGTAAAGACAAGACTCAAAGTATGATTTTTTTTTCCTCTTAGATGCTTTTTTTGGTAATAGGATATGCTGCTGCCAGGCAAACAGTGGTTCTTTGGTCACATCTAGAAGATCTAAAGGCTAGGCCTCCCATAAGGGTCAATAACTGAAAGAAATAGAATATTTGCTAGATCATATTCTTCTTTCTCTATCTCTGTCTCTGGCCCTCTCTCACATATACACATATACATTTGTCGAGGCGAAACCCTGTGCTGTCTTTTTCCAACCCAAAGGAAATTTTACATTCATTTTACTAATTTGCTAAATACTCCATTCATTTCATTAGGTGAAATAAAAATTTACATTTCTTAGTAACTGTGTACCACCCTGCTACCCTCTACCAACTGAGATAGATTGCCATCTGAGAGAGCTTTGGGTTACAAAATTTAAGCTTACTATCATGTAACTGAAAAATTATGTTTCACTAAACCTTAGTAATGTTTTAAACGAAGTTTTAAAATGTTTTGACCATGAGATTAAATGTGGATTAGGGAGAAATAAGAAAATGTCACTACAGCAAGTTTCTGTTTAATCTGGGATTGCGTCTACATAACACAAAATGAAGTAGAGATTTGGTGGTTATTAATTCAATCATTGTAGATAATAAGATCAGTAATATGTCTAAAATGAACTTTTTGGGGCCCAAATCATTCATTCCTTCATTCAGATTTGGCTTCAAGCAATAAAAAAATTAATGAGATAGTTGTCAAAGCTGTATTTCACTGTATATTGTGAAAAGTCTGTGATTCAGAAAATAGTAACTCTTACTTGCATAAGGCTGCCTTTCCATCTGTAAAATGTAAAGGTGTGCGGGGCAGCTGGGTGGCACAGTGGATGGAGCGCTGGCCCTAAAGTCAGGAGGACATGAGTTCATATTTGGCCTCAAACCAAACACTTGACACTTACTAGCTGTGTGACCCTGGGAAAGTCACTTAACCCCAATTGCCTAAAAAGAAAAAAAAAAGAAAAAAGTAGAGGTGTACGATTTGACACAAATCTGTCTCCTGGAGATGAAGTATTTGTAAGCCAAGTGCAGATGACATCCAGAATACTGTTATTTGTTTTTCATAGTCTTGCTTTTCGTGGCAATGAAATAATTACTTTAAAAGTTCTAAAGTATTTTAAACAAGACAAAATAAATTTTTACATTTGTATTTTCATAGTCACCATTTTTTGATAACCCTGTCACTACTCTTTACACTTTTTTCTGAATTTTACTGTCATGTGAAAATATTTTTATAAGCTGAAGGGTAGAAAGCAGGGGCCTCTTGTATGTTTTAAAATTGATTACTGTGGAGCTTTATCATTCTGTCCCATAACTGTTGTCACTAAAATGCAATTGGCCTAGGAGTCAGATAGGAAAACTAAGTGGACAGAGTGCTCATTGCCCAGATAATGACGTGTAGTTGAGAATGGACAGTTCATGGAGTTTTTAGTCCGTTAGAAAATATGTCTTGGACAGGCATAATAGATGACAATGAGCTGGGCCCAGAATGAAATAATCAGAAAAGTTTAGATCAACCTATCAATTAATCAGTTAATAAGCATTTAATAAGTACCTCCAAGATGCCAGTTACTGTGCTAGGCACTGGATTACTTGGGAATCTGCAGTACTTTCAGTGATTCCATGCTGTTTGCATCTTAGTGGTGCTGTGTGGCATCAGGTGTACCGTTTGGAATACCAAGATCTCTGAAGTGTCCTAATCATAGATGACCCAGAAGGCAGTGGTCACATTCTCTGTCCAAAGGCGATAGCATATTATCAGCAGTTGCCGGTGGTACATGAGAAATGGCATAAAGACATTATTACCAAGGACAGGTAGATCCCAAAGGAGGTAGATGAACGTAGCAAAAGCGAGGGATAACTGGTGGAACAGCTGACGTATTCCAAGGTACCCATGAAATGCAGAAGACCAAAGGCTTCCAACATTTGGGTAGATTTTACACAAAGGATTTATGGGATTGCACAGGATGAGAAGATGTGAGGAAGGGGTTGTGACCCACACTGCTAGAGGGAGTCCCCAAATTGGTGAGATGAAGGATACATCAAAGTATCAGGATAATCACATCTCCCAGATTTCTATTGCCCAGATTCTAGTGTCTTAGCCCAACAGACAGGTCTGTAGATAAAAATCATTATTCATTGTTTTGGGCTTCTAAATATGCATATCTGTAGTGGCAGAATAAATCTCAAAAGAACAATTGTTGTCAATTTGTTTTTTCTCTAGGGAAAACTGCACTGCTAAGTAAAAATTAAGAGTCACTGAGCAAAGATGTATCAGTGGATAAAATGGGTATCAAAAAAGACTGTCAACTATATTTCTGGGAGGGGCTAACACATAACATTCATATATTTCAAGTCCTTTGCTATAGATGTGTTCGCAAAGTTTGGTTCAGACAGTCAAGCTCTCATGGTTGGTTGGTTTGTGCGTGTTCTAATCATTCATCAGATTTCTACAGCCCGTGGACATGAAGTTCAGGCCTCTCCTACTGCACTTTTTCCTGCTTTGCGCTGGGATTTGGGGCATTGCAATTAAAAATAAAATATTCTGAATAAAATATCACCCTTTGTCTATTTCTGAAACCAAGAACTTAAATGTCTTGCTTTACATAATAGGTTTGTTCCTGAAAAATTTTGTGTATTATCTTTTTGTAAATCAAATTCTATTTTAAAAGTACTAGGAGAATGCACTATAGAAAATCCCTTTGATGAATCCTTTTGTAAAAGGATTTATCATCTCTTGAATTTATCTCTTTTATGGATCTAGATTTTTATATCTGGGCTTTATGTGAAGTGGGGATACCTGTGCATTTTTAAAAATCACTTTCATTACCATATTGTAAATGATTACAAAACATTTATCATGAGGGGAAAATATTATCTAGGTGCAGGGTTATATTTAGAAATATTTTATTAATAAGCTCAAGAAATACTCATGGTATTAATAAAAATGTAATTTGGGTAGGGAGGCTTTCTTCCTAAGCCTTAGTGTCCCCAAATGGATAGTGCTCCCCAAATACCCCAGCATGACTACATTCTTAGCCAGATACCTAGTATTAATGCTCATATTAGCTTCCTAGCTTTACCCATGCTCTTAAGTAAAGTGCATTTGTTCATGAAGGACAAAATCTTTTCTTTCTCTGTATTTCTTTAAACTAATGGCTACAAACTATCTTTTCTTTGGGTAATATTTCAGTTCTTAGACATTAACTCTTTTTTTTCTGTAACCTGAGTGTTTTGTTTGTATCCTAACTATACACATTCTCTTAGAACCTTTGTCTTATAATGTCACTGTCTGTCTCTATAATGGAACCATGGTGGAGTGGAAAGAGGCCTGGACACTTTAAGGCCTTGAGCCCTGATTCTGCCACTTACTTTCACTGCCCCCTATACAGGGTACCTGCCCTCTTCCTAACTTCCCTGTTTCTTTTGAGGGCATCCCCATCCTTCCAGTTCCTCAGGTTTGCCATACCAGAGGCTTCCTCCACTCCTCACACTCCCTCACCCTGCCCATCTAGGCAGTTGTCAAGCCTTATTACTCCATCTCCACAGCATCTCTCTCGTCCATCCCCTTCTCTTCAGCTATGAGGACATCATTCTAGTGAGGTGTGGAAGGAGGGCATTCCAGGCTTGAGAAATAGCCCATGTCAAAGCATGGAGAAAGGAAATGAAGTGTCAGGTGTGAAAAACAGCAAGAAGATGGGTTTGGCTGGACTGTAGAATTTGTGGGGAGGGGGGAGAGAGTACAGTTATTCCTTCCACATCAGGGAAGCGGGAGAGAAAGGGAAAGAAATCTGCATAAAATTTTTAGTCCTCCTTTCATACCAGAAAAGAAGTCTTGAATTATTATGGTATTAAAAGATTTAAAATGTTGCTCTTATATAGTATTATACATATATTTTATGCATTCCTGAGTTTCTAAACTGTGTTGTCTGCTGGCCTTCACGTGTCATCTGTGGCTTCTGCAGAACTCCCAAAAAATTCCCATTTAATTTCTCATGCCTACCGTGATATATTGAAACTGTGCTGGGAAAAGTCATGACGTGGAAGGGATAACTGTAAAATGTCATAAGCATGGAGAGACAGACTAGGGGCCAGGTTGTGAAGGGTTTTAAAGGCTAAAGAGTTTTTACTGGATCCTAAAAGTTAATAGGGGCACTAGGTGTGCCATAGTGCATAGAGTGCCCATCCTGGAATCAGGAAGACTCATCTTCCTGAGTTCAAATCTGTCCTCAATGTTTGCTAGTATGACCCTGGGCAAGTCATTTCATCCAGTTTGCCTCAGTCTCCTCATGTGTAAAATGAGCTAGAGAAGGAAATGGTAAACCAGTTCAGTATCTTTGCCAAGAAAACTCCAAATGAGATCATAAAGAGACATGACTGAAGAATGTCTCAACAACAACAAAGAAGTCAGTAGACTTCTGGTCTATATAACGTAAGTCTACATTAGAAGTAGTAGGGAGCCACTGGAGTTTATTGAGTGGGGGATACAGCATAAGTGCTTTCAAAAAACACTGGCAGCTGGGTGGAGGATAGATTGGAGAAGGGAGAGGCTTGAGGCAAAGAGATCAATTTTGGAGGCTGTTGCCATAGTCTAGGTGAGAGGTGTGATAAGAGCCAAAACTAGGATAGTGGCTGTGTGTGTGTGTGTGTGTGTGTGTGTGTGTGTGTGTGTGTGTGTAGAAAGAAGGGAATATATGTAAAAGATGTTGGGGAGGTAGAAATAGTAATATTTGATGACTGACTGCATATGTGGAATGAGTGAGAATGAGTTTTCAAAAGTTTGATCATCATGAATTCATATGTATTTTACTAGAATTTCTTTTTTTACTTTAGAAACCTCTTTTGTGATTTTTAAAGCATTGCATATGGCAATTCTAGGGAGAAGACTTTGAAAAACTGTGTGATGGATGAAAGGTCACCATCAAAACTTGAAACAGATGTCGATAACAGGACTGAAACAGGTATGTTCCTCTCTGAAGTCAAAAAGTAATAAACCTTATTTAGTTTAAAAAGCGGTTTGTTTTTGAAAGGCCTGAAATTCTCAATCTGTGACATATTTTCAATCTTCCTTATTGCCTGCTTGTCCAGGGAAATGGCTATGAATTGATGTCAATGAACTAAGCAGAGATCTTATTGTATAGTTTCGATTTCAGGTTGACAACATTTTACGTGAAGATAAACCATTATCTGATATTACATCTCCCCTTCTACTTTTAGAGTGACATGTGGAAAAATTTTAGTGCATATAAGCACTGGAAATTGGGTTTCTATGTATATTAAGCCATAATGTAACTGCCTTTACTTGGCTGAGCTAAACTGCTGCTCTCAGAAATTTCCTCCGTGGGCTAATGAAGCATTCTAAAGTGCTCAAGCTACTGGGAAATAATTGCTTTACTGGACAAAGTGCCATTTCTAGAGGCCCTGAGAGACTTTAATTGGTGACTGGGTTTCACTTTTTTGAAATGAATTCACATTGCTGCTTTGAAAGGTTTTCTTTCCGCTGAAAATCATATTTGTGCCAAATCCCTAGAGTAGGCTCACTGTAAGCACTGTTGGTAACAGGACATGGCTAACAAAATTATAAACTATTACTGCCATGTCATAGAGTTAACAGCATTGTCTGGAGAATGGTTTCTGTTAGTCTGGTTGTTTCCATAGTTTTATTTTCTCTAGTCTTACTGGGTAAAGAAACTGTAATCCTGCTTACTTCATGCTTTGCTTAAAGACTCACTTATTTTTATCTCCTTTGCTGATCCTATCCTTTCTTCCAGCGCCTCAGTGTGGACATTTCCCAAGAACTAATTTTCAAATCTCTTCTCTCTATTTACCCTTGTAACTTCACCTATGATTTCTATGTGGATGATTTCCCAGTCTCCCGAGTCCTGATAGCTCTCCTGAGCTTTAGTGCCATATTCTAGCTGGAATATTCCCGCATTCCTGCTGGGCATTTCTAGTTCAGTATCCTGTCAGCACTTTGGTGTTCAGTGTACACAAAACCCGATCCATTTCCCCCAGCCTGTGCTAATTCCAGTTCCTGACTTCCCTCTGTCTATTCATCATCAGTCTCCTACTCACCTTGGCTAGAGACGTCTTTATTCCTCCTACTTCTTTGCTCTCACATCAAACTAGCTCTCAAATTCTGTGGTTTCATATGTGCAGGGTGTTGCATCGGTACCCCTCTGCTCATTCCCACCACTGACACCTTTGTTCGCAGGTCCTTTTTCAGTGATTCTTACCTGGATCACTGGAAGTAGCTTTAGAACTGGATCCTGACACCACCAAGTGTGTCTCTCTGTCCAATCCATCCAGTACTTTGTTCTCAGATTAATTTTTTATAAAACATAGCTCTATTCATGGCATGCTGCTACTCAAAAAACATTTGGTTACTCTTCATTACTTACTGAGTTAAGGCCTAATTTATCATGAAACCATAGAATCTCAGAGTTTGAGATCTGTAAGGTCCCTTCATAGTGATATAGTCCAGCCCATAACCTGACCAATGGTCATCGAACTTCTGGAACCCCTCTCTCTGAGGCAATAACCACATCCCTTTTTGAGATAATCCCTTCCACTCTGATCAGCTCAGATTGTTGGGCAGTCTTTCCTACATCCAGACTTAAATAGCCTCTTTGCCCCTTCTCCCCGTAGCTCCTGGTTCTGCCCTCTGGGGCCGATGAGAACAAGCTTATCCCTCACTCCACATGACAGCCTTTCAGCTATTTGAAGAGGGCTGTCACGATCCCCTCCAGTCTTCTCTTCTTCAGGCTCATCAGCTCCAGTTCCTCGAACCAATCTTCACAGGACATAGGCTCAAGATACTTTACCATTTGTGTTGTGAAGTAGCCTGCCATAGTGGATAGGGCACAGGAAGACCTGGGTTCAGATCCCACCCCAGATACTTATTAGGTATGTGACCCCCTAAGCGAGTCACTAATGAGAAAGCCTTCAAAGTCCTTTCTAGCTCTAAATCTGTGATCCTCTTCCCTCCACTAGATGCTCTCCAGTTTATCAACGTTTTTCCTGAATGAGACATCTATAGCTGAGCACCATAGTTCAGATGCAGTCTAACCAAGGCATAGTACAGTGGAACTATCAGCTCCTTATTCCTGGAAGCTTTGCCACATTTAATACAGCCCAAAATCCTATTGCTTTTTGAACTGTCACAACAGTCAGCTGTCTCATACTGAATTTATAGTTCACTAGAACCCCTAGATAGCTTTCAGACCAACTCTTCTCTAATAATACTTCCCCATCCTATGCTTGTGAAGTTGATTTTTTTAAACCAAAATTGTTAGACTTTATATTCATTTTATTAGATTCAGTTCAGGTGGTACAGTGGTTAGAGAGTTGAACCTGAAGACAGAAAGATTTTTCAAATCCAGCCTTAGGCATTTATTAGCTGTGGGACCCTGAGCAAGTCACTTAATTTCTGTCTGCCTCAATTTCCTCATCTATGAAGTGGAGATAATTAGTACCTGTGTCACAGGGTTGTTGTAAGGACTGAATGAGACATTTGCAAAACACTTTCTAAACTTAAAGCACTATATAAGTGCTAGCTATCATCATCATCATCATCATTGTTATCTCTGTCAACATATTTTTGGATCCTGATTCTGTGATCTATTGCGTTAGTTTCCTTCCCAGCTCACTGTGAGCTGTAAATTGAATTAGTGTACCATCTATTCCTTTATCCAAGTCATTGATAAAAATGTTAAAACAATAGTACAGAGCCAAGTATAGATCCTGGGGCACCTCACTGCCAAGTTGATATTGAACTACTAAAAATTAATCTTTCAGTCTGCTACCTGACAAGTTCTAAATCCGTCTGATTGTATTGTTGTCCATTGTTGTTGTGGTCATTTATTTATTCAGTTGTGTCCAACTCTTCATGACCGCAGGGACCATAGCATGCCAGGCCCTTCTCTCGTCTACTATCTTTCAAAGTCTGTCCAGGTTCATGTTCATTTTTTCCATGACACTATCTATCCATCTCATCCTCTGCCCTCTCCTTCTTTTGCCTGTAATCTTTCCCAACATCAGGGTCTTTTCCAATGAGTCCTGTCTTTTCATTATATGGCTAAAGTATTTATGCTTCGACTTTAGTATTTGACTTTCCAGTGAATCATTTGAATTAATTTCTTTAACAGTTGACTGATCTGATCTCCTTTCTGCCCAAAGGGACTCCCAAAAATCTTCTCCAAGGCCACAATTCAAAAGTTTCAATTCTGCAGTGCTCAGCTTTCCTTATAGTCCAGCTCTCACAGCCATACATTGCTACTGGAAAACCATAGCTTTGACTAATGCTGACCTTTATAAGCAAGGTGATGTCTCTGCTTTTTAGTTTGCTGTCCAGATTTGCCATAGCTTTCCTTCTAAAGAACAAGAGTCTTTTAATTCAGGGCTTCAGTTGCCCTCTGCAGCAATCTTTGAGCACAAGAATATAAAATCTGACACTGCTTCCATTTCTTCTTTCGTTTGTCAAGAAGTGATGGGGCCAGTTGCCAAGATATTAGTTTTTTTTATGTTAAGCTTCAAGCTAGCTTTTACACTATCCTCTTTTACCCTCATTGAGAGGCTACTTAATTCTTCACTTTCTGCCATCAGAGTGGTATCATCTGCATATTTGAGATTGTTCATATTTCTCCCAGCAACCTTAATTCTAGCTTTTGATTTATCCAGCCTGGCATTTTGCGTGATGTATTCTGCATATAAGTTGTCATATTCCTTTTCCAATCTTAAACCAATTAGTTGATCGATGTTCTATTCTAACTGTTGCTTCTTGACCTGCATACAGGTTCCTCGGGAGACAAGTAAGATGATCTGGTACTCCTATCTCTTTGACAACTTGACACAATTTGTTGTGATCTACACAGTCAAAGGCTTTAGTGTAGTCAATGAAATAGATTTTTTTTGGAACTCTCTCACTTTCTCCATAATCCAGCAAATGTTAGCAATTTGGTCTCTAGTTCTTCTGCCTCTTTGAAGATTAGCCTGCTCTTCTGGTAATTCTCTGTTCACATATTGTAGAAGCCTGGCTTGCAGAATCTTGAGCATAACCTTGCTGGCATATGAAATAAGTGCAGTTGTTTGGTAATCTGAACATTCTTTGACATTGCCCTTTTTTAAGATTGGGACATAAATTGATCTTTTTCAATCCAATGGCCACTGTTGAGTTTTCCAAATTTGCTGGCATATTGAGTGTAGTACTTTGACCGCTTCATCTTTTAGGGTTTTAAATAACTCAGTTCTACAGCTCATCTTCTCCATGATGGTATATATGAGATTCTTTGCCAAATGCTTTGCTAAAATCTAAGTAAAGCATAACTGTAACATTCTCTTCATCAGCCAGTTTAGTAATCTATCAAAAAAACCCACCCAAAATACTGTTAGCCTAGGATGATGTATTCTTAAAGAAGCTATGCTGGCTCTTTATAATCATTGTTTCTCTTTCTACATTCTCATCAACCATTCCATTCATTATGAGTTGGAAGGGACCCTACTTAGGTAAGGGCCATCAAGTACAACACCCTCTTGCAAAGATGAGGGAGCAGAGGCAGAGTTTAATGACTTGCTTATGGTCACATAACCAAAAAGTGTTTGAGCCTGATGATCTGTTCTAGAATTTTCCCAGAAATTGGAATTTTGTTCACTGGCCAGTAGTTTGTACTGTTCTTTCCCTCCTCCCACCTTTTTTTGAGGAATTTGGACATCTGTCCTTCTGTGACCTTATGGTACCTCTCCCATGTTTTAGCATCTCTCAGATATTCTTGGCAGTGACTTAGTACCCAAAGATGCAGCTTAATGGGTGGCTGGCTTGGTGTTACCTGGGATCCTCGGGCATTCTCTTACCATCCCTTTACTTGTTTGGGGTCTCAATAGTTACCACTGGTAACCATTTTTGTTGTTATTTCCAATGTAAAGGTCATTCTCCTTGGCAGAGAAAATAGAAGCAAAAGAAGAA